CGAGAGAGAGAGAGCCACGCGCTCCTCGCCTGCGGAGAAGAATACACACACCAGCTGCAGCCGATGATTGTCTTTTATTTCCCCGCTCGATCTCTGCAAGGTTGCGAGAGGGGAAAAAAAAAGTCGGTCAATGTGCCACACACACACACCAACGGAGCGCCGGTTTTACTCAGAGTAAAGCGATCCCGAGAAACTTTTTTTTATTTTTTACGAGGTACGCATCGCGTACAGGAGAAAACGCGCGCACCGCGGTGCCGATGACCTCTCGGTTAATCCGCGACTTTATGTATAATGTCCACGGTGATTTATTCAAAAGCGATTCCCGGATCCGGCTGGAATCCGATCGATTATATTCCCTCTCCCTGGGCACGAGCGTGATGAATGGCTCAAGCATCAGTGTCAAAGCTATACACACGTGCAGGTACGTATGTACAATTAATATTCCCGCGGACTTTTTTTTTTTTCTTTCTTTCCTTCCATCTCTGTCGTATAGTCATCGTTTCCCAGAACGCGGAGCGTATCGTCCGTACGCCATCGCTGTTGTTCCTCTCGAGTCGTCGTCCCGTCCGAGATCGCATCGGCCGTGGAAATGCGTCATTAAGAGAATAAAATGAAAGACCAGTTGTGCAGCGTACAAGTATATAATAATATTATGTTGAGCGAAAGCCCCGTGTTTTTTCGTGACGTTTGCCCGATCCTACGCCATAAGTGTATGTATAGGGGTAATGGCTCCTATATCGAAGCTTGGAATATGTATAGCGCGTCGGAGCTCCAAAAGAGAGGCTGAAAAGTGCGCTCTTGTATACGTTTTGCACGCAGTGTGTGTACAGTTACGTGTACTTAGGCAGAAAAGAAAAAGAAAAAAAAAAAAAAAAAAAAAAAAAAAAAAACAGAAAATGTTTCATCCCGGATATGCGCGACTGAATGACGCTAAAGAGCCATACCTGATACGGATGTGTGTGTGTGTGTGTGTGTGTGTGTGATGAGGAAGAGTTGATCGTCCCGTCGTTGTTTTATGGTTTTGGTCTTACGGGACCGACAATCAGGTGAGCCGCACCGCGCGCAATCGCTTTTGCTCCACAGAACCGTGTAATACATGCCCCGGCTAATCGAGTTGTGCGCGTGCTCGTTTGAGCGAATTATACGTACATACGAGAGGGGGTTGACTTTTTTTTTTCCTTTATTTATTTACCATGGTGGGTGCGTATCGCAGTGGAGGCGTGAAGAAAAAAAAGTTATTTGGTACTCTTTAATACAAAAAATTTTATTTCAAGGACTGCTTCTTGCACACAAGTATATATATACACTTAAGTTGCCCGATTTCCAATTGGAGCAAAATTTTAAAACCATTCGGTTTATTTTGAATGAGCTTTTCAACGAAACAAACAAAAATCAGTGTCAGTCATACAAAAAAAAAAAAAAAGATTTATTTCAGAAAAACCTGCATAACAAACGATTTTTCTGCACAGAGGCGTATAGTTGATCCGCATGCAGATCGGTAAACAGATTTTCCGTTCCAGGAGTGCCCATCGATTGAGATTTCCAACAACGATATATACCTGCCAGAGGCTCGCGCTGACTCTTGCAATCGCCAAACGCGATCTTCGTCTTGGTTGGAGAAGAAGGAGAGAGAGAGAAAAAAAAATATGCAGACCACCAATATCCCCTCCAATCGGCAAAAATACCCCATCCGACTGCAGCAGGTATATATATTTTTTTGCGTCATTTTCCGCAATCTGGTTTAACGTAGTTACTTCGCGCTCGTTGTTGTTTTGTAACGTTACCTCATTGTCCGTCCCATTGCCAATGGTAGCGCAGGGGTATATCAGTTACGCCTGGGAGTTATGGCAGTTGTACCAGTGGAACGAAGAAAGAAAAAAAAAAAAAAAAAAAAAAAAACCACTCCGGATGGTGAGCATTTGCCGTGTGTGCTCGTGCATATGTATGTCTACAACTACAAGTGAGCGTGTGCAACGAGGTAAAGTTATTATCTGCCAAACGGTAACTAAACACGCCGCTCATTTGTATGTATGTATATGTATACCTACACCACCTCCTGTTATCTCGTGGATATATGAGAATCCATACAGTGTGACTTGCTCTCCCTAGACTTTCTGACGGCACGAAATGTCAATTTTGAAGAGCAATTGAAACAGTATGCTCGTCTATATCTTTGCACGTGAACCTCAAAAACTATGGGTTGTTTACTGCCCGAGTCGGTGTAGAACACCTACTGATTGTACATAATTAAAGAAAAAAAATGGCAGACAAGGAAACGCGACCAAAGAGAGAGAGAGAGAGAGAGAAGCTCTGCGGAGAGCCGCAAGACAATTTGGCGGCAAAGGCAAAAACAAGTAGAGCAAGTCTGAGTGTCCATCCTATTTTTACCTTTTTTTTTTCATTCGTACCGTTGTCATTTCGAAGGATATTATATAATTCAAGTGATCACATTTGATTACCACTTGGCGGACACCCAACCCACGTATCGGTAAAATATGGAAAAAAAGAAAAATCAAGGCTCGCGTATATTAAAAAGTACTTCCGTTCTGGTTTACCTACTTTATTGCGTACGTCAGGTAGGTATATGGTTTCCCTATTTTTAGAAATTTGAGTCTCCACGAGATACCCGATGATAAAATTCTATTTGCAAAACGTCAATATAATAATAACGTCAACGAACCATCGGTACAAGTGCAACATTCCTGTATATACATCGACAAGCATATCGCGATCGACGTTCTCGCGTTTAGGTCGCGAGTACAGCAGATAATATAATAGCACAGTAATTCCACGTAGTCATTGTTTCTCTGGAGCAGCTGTATGGTACATCTGCATGTATAATTCATCGCAGCCCTGAGGGCACGAGCGGCCTTTTTAATGTAACTTTGCGCTGCTACGGCGGCAGATATCATCGTCCGTAATGCCGGTTTTACGATTGTTTTCATTTTGACGCGCCTACCAACTCGTGCTCGGATTCTGCAAAGATTTAATAAAGATTTTTTTTTTACATTCTTTAAAAAAAAAAAAAAAAAAAAGGAAAAAAGAAACAAATAACAGCCTGGACATCGGAAAGGAAAAGTAGAAAGCAGCAACAACAACACAGGTAGCCACCCGCCATCAGTTGTGCACACTCTCTCGACTCGGCGATCTAGATTTGAATAATAAATCGTGGGCGGGCAACGCGGATCCATATATAGACATGTATCATGTGCGCACACGTTTTTATTAAGATGGTGATCATGATGATGGTGATGGGTGTACAATGCATTATACCTATATTTGTACGTATATGCTGATGCGCTATTTCCATACCATCATATAGTTAGCATAATCATCGAAAGCGCGTACTTTCGGTATATTATATTCTAGAGATTATATGTATATAGGTATACTTGCACTGCACAATATATATAATGCATATACATAACGTATACGCGTACCTGTAGTTTATTTACGATGATTACTTATACGCAGGTCGTTCTCGCACACAAGATGCACGTTGTTTGTATATCTACTCTTTTCTCTCTTTTACCATCATTAATATTCTTATATGAACGTATCTATGTAATTATATATAGATAACCACTTACCACCACCACCACAATACGTATAAGATCTCTTATTTCACTTTTGGTTTCAGTGGACCCGTGCGGTCGAGTCGCGAAATCTTGGTGCGCTTCTTCTTTTGTTTTCTTTTTGTGTCGTTAAGTAAGTATATATACCTATTGTGAACCTCTTCCGAAATCACGTATACGCGCGTACTCGCTGTTCTTCTGGTTGTGCTTGGACTATTATACACGTTTGCTGAGTTCCCTGTGCCACTAGAGTGCATTTTCTGGACGACGACGACAAAGACGAGGATCGTTGATCATAGAAATCATGAAACAGCTATCGACGTAATGTCTACTTTTTTTTTTTTTTTCAATTGCTGGAAAATTGCCAACCGTATGCGTACACCCAGAGTTCAATCAATGATGCGCCTCGTTGCGCGCTTGAGCAAGAGAAAAAAAAAAAAAAGTACACACCCACACGTGTATACGATAAATTGAAAACTTTCGCCAAAAAAAGGAGGAAAAAAAAAGAAAAAAAGGGAAAACTCTCCCGCACATGCAAATACCGTGACTTTTATTTTCTCGCTCGTCTCCCCTTTGCGTTGCAAATCAACCTCGTTACAGTACCCGTAGCTCATACGAAACACCCGAGGCGCTTTCGATTAATCGATGCGTGTTACCTCAGCTCTGAATCCAAATGTGTGTATGCCTGTGTTTATCGAAAGATGTGTTCCGCACGAATTATGCATAGTATGCAAAAAAAAAAAAAAAAAAAAAGGAAAAAGTGCAATAAAATTGAATCGCGAGGGTGTGCATAAATATAGACATGTAAATTGCTTATCTACCCATCTCTCTAGCTGTCGTGTGTAAATATGATTTGTTGTACCTATACACTTGGACGTTCAACTAACTCTATACGGTATAAGTACGTACAAAAGTGAAAATTCATATTAACATGAAACATGAATTTGCACGGATTTAAATCACCAAAAATCTGCACTTTTCTCCAGTATAGTACAACAATTTTCTACGCATGTAATTTTACGCTACGGGCGGTGGTGGTGCCGTGATTTTTCTCTCTTCCAATTAAGCGATCATCGTCTGATGGTGAAAACAAAAAGCATCCTCCACACGTCGATTGGGGGTTTCGGTAGCGCGTGAAATCCGCTCTTTTCTCCCCGCGCTCGGTCGTTAAACTCGAGGATTATACGATCGAGCGAAGCCGGTGGACTTTTGTCGCTCGTGCCTTTCTTTACCGACTCGACTTTCTTCTCGATAACGACGATTTATCGAGAAAACAACGCGAGAGAGGGAGGCTCCGAAGTGCGTTTATCCTCCGGCTTTCTTCCAAAGTCCCCCTTTTTTTCATAGCTTCGGAATCGAATTTCTTTGGGTTCCGGTATAATATACACGCGCGATCATTTGGACGTTTACATGTGTTTGTCTTACCACAACAGGACTTTCCAAAGTCGAGTCGCACCAGTTGCACCATGTACGGCTCCAAGAGGTTGACGTACCACCATGGCCTCGGCTCGGGGGTCGTCAAGGTGCAAGTTTGGGGCGTGTACGCCTGCGCGCTGCTACCGTCGACCGCCAACTGGGGAATCCCACTGTCGGCCCGGCTGGACTGCATCGGAGCCTTGCCGGCCGCCACGTTCAACACTGAAAGAAAACATACACACACACACCATTATACTTTTTTTTATCAACATATATTTGTACTCATACTCCGTACCTATAGCAATTACAAGCGATGAAGAAGAGATTACATTGTGACAGTATAATATGCGTATATTAATATTTAACGATCGAATCCTTTGGGGGGGGGGGGAGCTTTCTGGTTGTTAAGTACATATTTGATGGAAATTCTTTCAAAGATGCATAAAATGAACGGTGCAGTATGACGATGGGTTTTGAAGAATGCCAGGACTATGTGGTACACTTATTGTATGTGTATACGTATACGTATATATAGGGGGACCGAAGGAGGTTAGTCGCATAATTTTCGTATCGGGGAAAATTATCTTTCTCTCTCGCGTGCTACCACAGCTGTATATATAACTCTGTGCACTTTTACGATCCACGAGGACTAATATATATACATACGTGCAAGTAAATATGTATATAAATATAAAGGAATAGTTGCCGTTAGAATAAAAGTGCGTACCGTATGGATACGAGTGAGCGAAGGACAATTATTGGGTATGTATATACATATACATGATCGTCCGTGCGTTAGATTATTAGTTTAATCAGTGTTGGACGAGGTTTTTTTTTCGCTCCCTCTTTTTGGATTAGTTGATTTGACAAAGGGTGCGATCAGCTAAGAACGAGATGTTGGATTTTTAATTATTTTGCAAAAAAGCTGGGTCCGTCGAGTGTTAACATTACTTACTCGTCGAATTTTACTCTAGACGGAAAAATAAAGATTGGCGCGTTTGGTTGTCCGCTTAAAATTCACGTCTCCTATACTTTTTTTTCCTAATCGATGTCCTTTCCATTTGTGAGGAAAAAAAAAACAACTCTTTTTCATACCATCTTGGTTTCATCGAATAACTCCTGAAATCAATAAATAATAATAACAGCGTGACACGGGTCTGCGTGCGAAACTCGTTTTCTCCGTTCATTTCTCTTCGCGAGAGCTGTTCTCCTCGCAGAACTGGACTGGTCACTTTCCGGTCGATTTGAATCGCCCGGACGCGCGCTCTCTCTCTCTTGTTTTTTTTTTTTTTTTTTTTTTTTTTTTTTTTTTTTTTTTTTTTTTTTTTTTTTTT